GCGAGGGCGTTTCCTCCCCCCCCCCCCCCCCCCCCCACGTCCCCCAGTGCACAGCAATCAATCGTCCGACTCCTAGAGAGCAAGAGATAGCTAGAAGCTGCACCCAACCCCTTCCATCAGCCCAAATCTCGTGATATTTCTGCCCTTTCCAGGAGAATGCCCCCTCAGCTAGAATAGTAAAGCTAGCTGCACTCCTCCCCCTTCTCTGTGGTTACTTCTTTTGTTTCTCTTAAGTACCGGTCGTTATTGTTTCTTAGCAACAAAATGGGAGAAAATTCCCTAAGAGAAAGAAACAAAAGGAAAAATCCTAAACCCCAACAACATACTAATTCCAAATCTGATCAATTGCACTGGAATGAGAGAAAAACTTTACTCAATTTTAACCTTTGTCCTGCACAGACCACTTGCTACCTCATTCGAAGGCAGACACGGCAGTGTGCGGTATTGGGTGAAAGCTGAATTGCATAGGCCTTGGCTTCTACCAGCAAAATTAAAGAAGGAATTTACAGTCTTTGAACATATAGATATCAACACTCCTTCGTTACTGGTAAGAACTGACAGAACTACTCATTCCTTTTCTGGCATAAAAATAATGAAGTATAATAACTGAAACAATGTCAGCATGTAACTTTACCCATTATTTATTTGCTAGTTTAAGTACAGCTCTTAAGTATTATATCAGTTTAACAACTTTTTAACTGCTGGTATTTTGAAGGCTAAGTTATCCTGTACTTGGAGTTGCTTGATCTTTACAAGATGTAAAATGCATTTGTCGGTCTAAACTGATATTACCAACTTGTATGAAATAAATAAATGGGGCAGGAGATCTTTCTCCTTTTTAATGCCTTTATTAAAAAGAATCAGCTCAGGTGGGGAGAAATTGACGGGTCGCGCCCACGCCGCCGCTGCTCCCAGGAGTGGCACGGCGGAGGAAGATGATGCAGCTGTGTCCGCTGGTCTGCAGGCAGAGCAGGGGCTTCCGTCCTCACAGGAGATTAGGAGATTCCGCCTTTTCAGTCTAACATTTCAGGTCCTCTCTCTAGTTAACGTCTTTTTAGGTTAGGGTGAGAAGTAAAAAGGATCTTAGCAGATACTGGATTAAGTTCCTCATCTTTAGACATCACTTAGGTCTCTTAATTCTATGTTGGCTCATTGTTTTTAGGGTTTTTTCCCTGGAAAATTACAAAATTGGTGAAATGCATTCTCATCTGCATACTAGTTCTGATGTCACTCCCCTGGCCCTGCTACCTGTGGGGTCTGGTGTCACTCCCTGGCAAGCATCAGGGGGACAATGGCTAATCACCAACCATTAACAGGTAATTGAAAAAGAACTCTCAACAACAGGTGGCTGCAATGTGAAGCTAACTTCACAGCAACTGGTTTAACTTGTTTTAACTCTGCAACCTTAAAAAAAATAGATAACTTTTTACTCATAACAGTCCCCCCTCTTTTTCTTTGATCAGGCTTAAGCTTTCATCAACTTGCAATTTTTGGCTCATTATTAACATAGAATTTCTTATATCTTTTGTATTGATTATAAATTTCCTGAGCACTTTGGTGATCATATTTACTCAACTTCATTACTTTTTTTGGTTTTTTCAGGTTAATTTCTTTAGAGATCCTTAGGTTATTCTGTACAGCAGATGTCACTATTTTAATTAAGCAGGGAAATAAGGACAAACTAACAAGTGTACACACAGTGAAGAAGGTTATAGTTTTCTAACTTTTTTTGAAAGTCCATAGATTATCCCACCAACTGGAATCAAGTACAGGAGTTCTTTCTTGATTTCTTACATATGCTAATTTTCTTATTTCATTGAAGATGTTTCTAATGACTGCGACAATTAATTTGATTTGATAAATTACTGTTTTGGTTTGGGCGAGTTGGTCATTAATATGATTAAGAGCTAATGCGGTCTGATTAGATATTATCTCTAATACTGCTTGTAGCTTCATAATTTTGTTTAATATATATCGCTTCTTCCGTTTGGTTTTTCTTAAATCATCGTATATAGGAACTCTTAAACTTGATCCAGATTCTTTGGATAATATAAAGACAGCTTGTTTTATAATTGTAATGATGCAACTGCCAGACCAGTCTCTTGGCAATTTAGTGGATGTTGTGGTACCATTGATCCAAAACAGGTGTTTAGGGGTCTCCCAAAATATATTAGTTTTTGTTGTGCCCTCCCAATATTTAGAAATATCTTTTCCTTTGACCAGATTTACCAGGCTTACTTCAGTAGCATCACGTTCAAAGCACCACCAGGCCTCTCCTACAGGGTACTCTCCCAGGACTCGTTGCCTAAAGGTGGCGGTGTTCTGGGCTATCCAATATATTTTCTCATTCCCTTGATAAAGGATCAATTGGGAGAGGTTAACACAATTACAGTTTAAATTGGTGTGGACTCTCAACAAGGAACTTACTTCTTGCTCCCAGAGGGGTTGGTAGCACTCACTGCATGGCTCTCTTGGGCTCTCCAGAGCACCACCAGCAATTAGAGCTATTACTACTACCCTTCCCAAGAGTCCGGTATGGGTCATCTTGCACAGCCTGCCCACCCGGCCTTGCCTCTTGGGGATTTTACTAAGAAGAAGTTTCCAAGCTCTTTAGAGTCTCTTGCTTCTCTGGTTAAACCTCTCTTGATCTGTCCTTACTAATTTGGTCTCTCTTAGGGGAGCACTCTGCAGAAGATTAACCTGGAGTCTTTGCTACTAAGTTGGGAGGACTTAACCAGAATTACTTATTAACAATTTTTAACTTTACAAATTTCTTAAAACACTTTAAGACATTTTATGCTTTTCTTATGCAGTTCAGTCTTTCTGACTCTTCTTTTTCAATGTCAACTTTAAGTCATTTGGTCCTTTTATAATAGTATACTCAGCTGAATTAACTCCTGGTGTGGTTGAATCCTGTCTTGAGTTAGGGGGTGAGAGTGGTGTGGAATCTGGTCCAATACCAGAGTGGGACACTGACGAATCCTGTCCAATGCTCGGGGGTGGGACTGGTCCTTTAATTCTCGTGATGTGGGTCCAACCCTTTTCTCTGGTCCTCACAGCAGAATTAGCGATGACGAGTACCTGAAAGGGGCCTTCAAATTTAGGCATCAATGGTCTACTATTCCAGGATTTTATCAAAACCCAATCTCCTGGGTTAATGTCATGTGCTGTTGTGTCAAGAGGGGAGGTTTGGGGAAGGTATCCTTTTTTTCTAAGTCCTTCTAGGGTTCTTCTAATGACTTCTAAATATTTTCTGGTAGCTTCTTCTCCTTCCAAATAGTCTCCTGTGCTATAGGGTGTTAACAAGAATGGTAGTCCAAACATCATTTCATAGGGTGAAATCCCTATATCAGACCGGAGTCTTGTTCTGATGCGCAAGAGCGCTAAGGGCAAACACTTTAGCCAATCCATTTTTGTTTCTTCGATCAATTTAGTCAATACATTTTTGAGAGTTTTGTTCATCCGCTCCACCCTCTCAGAACTCTGGGGGTGCCACGGAGTATGTAATCTCCATTTTATTCTTAAAGCTTCAATTATGTTTTGCAATGTTTGGGCCACAAAATGTGGACCTCGGTCTGAGTCTATGGTATTCACCATTCTTTTCTGGTTCACTTTTTGGCAAATTAAACACTCTTTTGTAATTGCTTTTGCTAGGTCATATACACTTATGCACAGGTTATTTCTTAGGAAATAATCACATAGTCTTTGGACTCCCCAGTGGGTAATTTATGTAGTTCTGTTACCACTGTCCGAGCAAGTGCTTTGTTTAAAAACACTTGTCCGCCTGATGTTAACCACTCTCCCTGTTGCCCTTGGTGTAACTTTAAATCACTAAATATGGGTTTTTCTCTTTCCCCCTCCTCAGGTGTGGTTTTTGCTTTAAAAACTTTTACTGGATCTCTTGGCTTCTAAAGTGCTTCCTTTGCTATCTTGATCAGCTAACAAAGGTCTCACAACTTTCGGTTGAACAGTTTGGGGGTCCAGTTTCTCCACAGTAATAGCAGCACCTTTCGCTCAAAGGGGTTTGAGGCCTCTCCATTCCTTCTGCACCTGACAGTATTGGCCTATCCTTGCTTGCTCCTGGTGGTGGACCCCCGCACTCTTTTGTTACCTTGGACTGTGGGAAAGAGTTGTTTGCCCCCACACTTTCTCTAGCTATAGCGACCATGATCCTAGCTTTGGCCTTTGCTTTTTCTTCTTCTCTTCTTAAATACACTTTCAATGCGTCCCTCAATAACTCATTAATGTCCTTCTTTGGCCAATCTTCAATCTTTTCTAGTTTTCTCCGTATATCAGGCTAAGATTTAGTAACAAATTGGACTTTTAGTAGCACTTCACCCTCTTTGGTGTTTGGGTCTATTCTGGAATACAACTGGAAGTTCTTCTTTAGGCGATTAAGCCAAGTAGCAGGAGTTTCATCCTTCTCTTGTGCACTCTCGGATGCCAATTTTGTATTAGTTCCTTTGGGAATTGATTCTCTGATCCCCCGAATTATCAAAGACCTGTACTCTATCATGGCTTTCCTCCCTTCCTCCTGATTAGGGTTCCAATTAGGCTCCGCTAGTGGCAATTTGTCTTCACCTGACGGCACTTGGGATCCTGGACGGTTATCCTTTTCCCAAATTCTTATGCTAGCAGCTCTAATCATTCGGAACTCTTCTGGGGAAAATAATATATTTAGAATGGAATTCATCTCTCCCCAAGTGTAGATATTTGGACCTAAGAACTGATCCACTTGGTTGGCAATGCCTACAGGATCTTCAACTAAATTCCCTAACTCCTTCTTGAATCCTCTCACCTCAGAAGCAGTTAGAGGAGCATTCACAAAACCAACACCTCCCGCTACTCCTCCCATAGGAACTTCTCTAAGGGGAAAAAGTCTCTCTACTTTGGAGGTCCTGGATCGTGTACTGCATTATAAGGTGGAGGGGCATCAGGAGGCAAGTAGTCTAGGGGGTCCCACCTTTTACTAATCTCTTCAACATCTCCTCTTTCATTCTTTCTTGCTCTGCACTTTACAAATTCACACTCCTTCATCTTTGATAGCATTCAACCAACAAGCTACATATAACAATTGCTCGGGATCAGTATCTTTTCGAGTTGTCAGATAGTGACTCAGCTGTTGACACATCCACTTGTC